TCCCGTGTTTCGCTTCACGACCCAGCTCTCCAATAATTTCTCCCCTAGCCTGCCTCCGCCGAACCGACAGGCTGGTTTTCTGACTTTATCCCGTTTTAAATCCAGGAAAACTGTTATGGATGTCGGTAGTTCAGCATTTTAATGAAGTTTTGCTAGAGAGCATGTCTTGTAAGAGAAAGACTTGTGGATATGTGGCACAGACAGTCGGCTCTACATCTTAGCTGGTTAATCTCGGTTTCCTGAGTCAAGCTCAGGTTCAAATAGATGAAGTTCCTGCGATCACTTTATCAATTCTACTTCTTTTCGCCGACATCAACTTCATTACCCAGACGTCACAATATCCATGTCTGGTGATTAAAGAGCATCCAAGATATCAGCCGTCTAATAACGTATCACTGCCATATCCAGTTCCGGCATGACAGCTTGGCCTTATCTCCGGGTTCGTCAAATTTGGAGGATGATTGGGCAATATTGGATTCTTCATTTGACGCTCATTCGCCGCTATTCTCTACCACGTGCCTACCACATGGCTTCCTCGCGCCATCTTTGGGAAGGCGGGCTTCATCGTCCCCTGGATAATCATGATGCCCCAAGATGCATCCTATCCTGTTGCTTTCCGACTCGAGGAAGCCATTCTGAATCTTGATATACCAGCTCATGAGATTATCGGCTTCTGAACTCGGGCACCGGGATTCATTTCACCTGAATATTACTCGTGAGCCTGACGATCTTGTCACAGTTTGTCTCAGTCAACTGCTTGCCAGCTGGCTAAGCAACATCTCCTCAACTTTGATCCATGTAGCATTGTTTTTTTTCTTTTGCCAATACATGCTTTCATCGTTCAATTTCATTATAATTTACTTGTAGCTGTGTATGCTTGCCCTCATACAATGTAGGTCAAGGTCGTGGTCACCATAATGACCTGGCTGTAAACATCGTGGTCCCAAACACGTCTAGCCACATCCATGATCCAAAGTGCAAGTGCCACCCCAAAATATATGTGTTGCTCAAGCATACTCACCCCATTTATCATGCATTGGAATGTCACCAGCAGTTTGATGTCTGCGATATGAAGGAACTGGTTAGCCTATCACGTTCTTTCCTTGACATCCGCATGTTGTTTGAGCACTCTCGCAAGTTAGCATGGAAATCACGAAGAACTCAACTTGATTTTAGATGAAGTCTTCCATAGTCAATGCAGATAAAATTGAAGACTGTTCACGCTTTTTGTTCAAGTACGAGATGCTTTTCCTTCTGCTGCGACAGATCATACGGCCGAGTAGCCAGTGCACCCCGGAGGAGATGGGCAAAAAGCCTATCCATGCCAGCATAGGTCCTCACAAGTCCATACTTGTTTTATGCATGAATTCTATCTAAGAAAAGTCATTATATACAATGTTGATCAGTTACAAGAGCCTGACAGGTCACAGAATCCAGACATGGTGGGGAGCTGGACCCAATGATACATGAAGCCTAGCTCATAGTCATCCCTTCTCAGATAACCGTATTTTACCTCGTTGTTTTAGCTTCGTCGTTAAATAATATCGATGTTGGACCATTTACCATCATAGAATGTCAACCAAGAGTAATACGGTCACAGTATAAGCTTTAGAAGAGAGGTTGCCTTAGTAGCTACCTCATTCTTATTGGAATAGAACTCTCTGGTTGACTCTATGACCTCTAAGGCATCCTTCACTCTCATATGTGTTCTCCTAATTCCAGATTATATGAAGCGATTTGCTACAATCGTACTTCTGTATCTAGTCAATGATATGAGCACAGAGACTGTAAACAATATAGTTTGGATAGATATCAGCGCTGTGATGCAAGTAACTAGCACACAAGTAAACCTTACCGATGGACAAGAGAATCTCTTGACTCAAAGGAGGTTCGCTATACTGACACTCTGGTCCCTCTTACCACTCAATAGAGGGAAAAAGGATCGGGACTTTACACTTGAGGATTTTCAGGTTCCGCAGAGACACCGTAAGATAAAAATGAACAAGAAGAGCTCTCTTGCCATCAGGAGCATCTAGTGGTATACAATATGTTTATTGGTAAAGCTGGAAGTCATAAAGTTTCTGTTGGCTGTATAACATCAGATAACCGCCTGTCTGAGTCGAATTCGTGTCAAACACAGCAATCATCAGCCGTTTGACTTGTCCTCGAGCCCGACCTAACGGATCAAAGCCCAAATATGTGATCCACATAGTGTTGAGAACTCCTCAGTTGCCGCTAGAGAAGTCTTCAATCCATGGATAGGATATAGTCGACGAAGATAAACGTTTCATTCAACTTTAGAGGTCACCGAGAGACAAATTTACCGTTTCACCCCAAAGCTTGATGAAAGACTACAATGGTAAGCTCTGCTATCAAGGCACTACAAATGCCCAGGATCATATCGCCAAGATAGTCCCGTGGTGGCTACGCCGCAACACAACTCAAGTGCAAAGGATGGAATTCAATCTGCATATGCGAGAGCCGCAGAACGTCAACCATAAGGGTCTGAACCATTGGTACCAAAAACATAGCCACACAAGCCATATGTCCTAACCCTGATAGATTGGGTAGGTAAATTGTGATAGTAGAACTGAGAATATTCTCAGACCGCACCATAACACAAAGCCAAGTGAACTCTCAGTTCACCAGGAAGCTTAGGATTTGCCTCAACACGGTCCGGCCGTAGTCGAATCAGCCTCTTTGACTCGATCAACGGCCTGGACAATAGTGTTGGGGCAGGAACAGGCGCGCGCTCTTTCAGACATATATTGTGGGTACCGAAGTAGCATTGACCAGCTTGAATCGCAGGGAAGGACAGCCAATGATGCTGTTGAGATGAAGACCTAAACGACACGTGGTGGGTTAAAGGGTTGGCCATGACCAATACATGCTTCCTACAGAAGGCCAACTAGTTTTTGTAAGCGCGTTAGCAGCCGCGCGCAGTGCTGGTTGATGCAATTGCCCGATGAGAAGACGCAGTTACATATAGGGGATATTGAAAAAGTTCAGCCACTCGAGTTTTTTTGTCTAGGACAAACGATACACTGGCGAGGCTCGTCTAGCCACACCTTCAACTCGTAGCACGCGCTGAACAGGCACATATGGTTTTGTTTCAACTTTCATGACGAGAATATGTGGTCTTGCCACAAGTCATGACGGGCAGAGCCGCAAGCCAGGACTGCTCCAAGTCATCACCCAAAATAGCTCCAAGCTGCAGCGGCCCGGAATTGCAGGCGGTTAGAGATGCCTTGCAATAGACATATATGGGCCCAACAACCCGCAGATGCTCCGGATGGCATTTTTGAAATCCGTAGACCATGTCAAGTTGCGCTCGCAGATAGGTCCAGTGAACATTGATACTTCTTCGGTGTTGCTTTCAAGATCTCATCACCTCATCCCTTGAGCCAACACCAATCCATTCTCTTGGTTTCTTTTGGACCCCACCTTCCCCGCAAGATTTATATCTGCACATCACATCTCCGCATTCCAGCTGAAAGGATTCTGTTTCTATTCTCGACTGCGCTGCCACAGATCTTTGGCAAACTGTGATATTGGGATCGGCCACTGCGAGTTCACACTTGACCTTAACAGCTTGAGAGCGAGGGTCCGTCGAACTGTGTGTGGTGAGCGGCAAGATCTAGCCAATCATGTTGCCCTGTGCTAATTATATGACTTTAGCGCCCATCCTGGGTCCGCATCCACCAATCGGACACTCCTTTTTGTTGCCTGGCGGTTGTGAGTAACCGACATCGACGCAGTCACGATCCGCCGCCTTGGGGGATTTCGTTTTGGTCTTGGGCTCCCGTCTCGTCGTGACAAGCCATCACCATCCGGTGTGCTGGATCGCCTTACGCAGTCTTTGCTGCGCGTGTTTCTGCGAATCTGGCTCAAGCTGTTTGGATTGATTTACACTTTGCCAAGCAGCAAACTTCAGGATTCTTTGAGGTTTGTGATGACCAGATCATCCCTCTTCTCCAAAAAAGAAATCCCCAAAATAGTCGGCAGCACACCCGCTGACTTCCCGACCCAGGCCGGCGGGTCAGCACAAAGCTTGGTGTTGGGATCCTCCGCGGCTCCAGCGCTCACAAAGGAGGTAGGTACCTTTTTACTGCTGAAAGGTTTCATGTCCGCGTCCGCGCATCAAAATTATTGTGTAAATCCCTCACAGGCCTCCGGAAGACGGAAGACACAGTACTTCTCCCTAGGAGGAAGACAAGCCTGGCGGCCATGGAGTGGGCAAATTGCATCGCGGGAAGTCATACGCCTGTGCTGTAGCGCCCGCACCCACGCTCACGCACACACCTCTACTGCTTCGAGACCCTGCTGTTTTGTCGCTTGTCAACCGTCTGCCCCACCTCTGCTCCTCTTTCTGATTTGCTACTGCCTCAAGCCCCTCCCCTAACTGACGAGGTGTGCTGGCAGCCACCCCTGGTCACAGCACGCCTGCATTTGATGTTCTGGACATCCTGTTTCCCTTCATCCCGCTGCTTCCTTCTGCCAGTTTTGTTCTTCCAAACAGACAACCGATTGAAAACTCAGCCACCACGGTGTTGAGATATCTTTTGGGATCATCACAGACTAACTTTTGTCTTTAGCTTCCCGAACTTTCAGCTTAAGAGAGCGACCCCCGCCCAACCTTGCTGCGGGCCGATTTATAAGTGTGAAAAACACACGGCTCCTGGCTGAGTCTGTTTCCCACAGACATTTCCACTGTTCCGGCGCTCTGGAAACAGGGCACAGACAGGGTATTCTTCGAGGGATTCGATCCGGATTCGATCCTTTGTTACCCACTTGGGGAAACATCTGGCCCATCCCCGGATGGTGTTTCAAGTCCCATTCCCTCATTCATATACTTAGCCTTTGACTCTCCGCCTTCTTGCTTCCATCGACCTGTTCAAAGTTTTTCAAGTTGAGACAACTCTTAGTTGTCACCGTTGGGTCTTTCGTGTTGGATACTCTGCAGTTGTCTCGTTTGACCCAGAATCATAATCGTCTTCACCATGTCGGCCAAACCAACACTCAAGCTGTCGACCCCGGTCACAGCAAACTTTCCCAGCTGTTCGCGGTCTGACTCGGAGCCACTTCGTTCAGCTGTGTCGCTGCCATCTGCTATCCCCTTAGGCACTCCATTGTCGACCGTTTCGCGGTCACCGGCCTTTCGCGACCCTATTATCCACTCTGCTGGCCTTCCTTCTGCTGGCCTTCCCTCGGCCAACCCACTCAGTGCTACGCTCAAGTGGGAACAGGAGTTGCAGAAGACTCCTATCACGCCGCCTCTGGCCTATCTAGATTTTCTTAAGACTGTGCCACTTGCGTCACCAAGCCTTGCGTCACCACCACTTCCGGCGAAGCCACCACTAAACCGGACAAGTACCGTCAGCACTACTTCGAGCAACCAGAGCAATGAGAGCTTTGGGTCAACAGAATCTGAGGACCCTTCAGCCCGGGATAACGACGACGACACTATAAGCTCGCCCTCGACAACTGCATCTGATTTCAGCTGTGAGTGCGATGAAGCCAAGGTAAAGGAAGAGGAGGACGAGACGAACTCGACCATAAATAGTCCTAAGGCCGATTCCAAAGGGACAAGTCGACCGAATCCTTCCCGCTGCGGTCCGACACTTCCCTTGTCTGCACCACCCATAGGCCCATCAGGATTACCAAGTATGAGACTTCCCGTGTCGCCTGCCGTTTCAACTTCGATCCTCCATTCACCAAGGACTCCCCTCACGTCGACATCGGTGAGGCCAGTGTTTGACTGGGAGGCGGCGCTCAAGTTGAGGAAAATGAGCGAAATCTCTGGCACGAAACGTCCCGCAGATTCGGACGCACCAAGTGCTAATACCTCCCCAAGCACGCCGGCTTCCGCATCCTGCTTCGGGCCTGCTTGGAAGGATTCGAAGGGCACAACGATCAGGCATATTCGTGAAGTTGTCACGCGGACGGTAACATATCACACTCCACGAATGGGCCCGGCGCCAAAGGGGAAACGGAGAAAGATCGATGCCGAAACGGCCGTCAAGTCCTGAACGAAACAAAAATTAATAGACATAACACGCGTGGGCAACCAGTGTTTTGGGGGACAACAGTGTTTGAACCCAAATTCTGGACGGTGCTGGAAACCACGCCCACCACAACGCCTCCTTGGCTGAGCCAACCAGCAAAATAAGTTTGTCCTTCGTTCGACAAGGAAATTAACCCAGAAATCGACCTATGTTTCCTGTTGAGTTTTCGTGGATCGTATTGAAGCAGGATGGGTATACGAGTTTCCAGTATCACAAGCACGATTATCACGGGCTCGGTAAACACACGGGAAGGGGGAAAAGGAAAGCACGGCATGAAAATTAAACTCGGCGTTGCGGGCGGCGTCTTTTGTTCGTTCGGATGACCAGTTTATCCAATTTTGCGGCATCGCGAGACGGACGGTTGCTTGGATTCTTCGAGACTTGGAATCCAAACTATTGGGATCCGGTTTGCTGTGAGGGGTCTGACATGTGACTGCCGTCATCCTGGTGCCCAGAATAGGCTGCATTTGTGGATCGCTACCGATCTGAAAGAGGACAGGAAGGAACAACTTCATGATACCATTTGCATGCTGGTGGTAGCGCTTGTATATTACATCATATTGGTAATGTACACATGACCGGTCTGAATAGCGAAAGCATTGCTTGAGAGCAACATGTGTATTGTTATCTTGTTGGACAATTAATTTGTCCAAGCATTAAACTTTGAATTGTGCTAATGGGTATTGTGGCCGTTTCTTGCCGTGGTGATTATGCCCCTATTGGTAGTTCCTTTGTTAATATAATTTGACGATTTGTTTGGTGCATGTCTGAAACTCTATTAGATAGATGTTTCCACTGAATGACATGCTTGATAAACAGAAAGGCATCCCAAACAACATCATGACCTTTTCACCTTTCGAGGAAACCGCCCAGACTCGTAACAAGCCTCAGCCCAGCGTCCTCGAACCCGGGAGACCTTTGCCCTTCGTTCCCTTCCGTCTCTAATTCGTGCTAGCGCAATCCCAACCGCATGGTTGCGAATCCACCTCCCGCAACCGTTTCTAGAACCACTCTTTTGATTGGTCATGCTAAGAGCCTTAAGCGCCGACCGGACCCCACAGCTCCAAAACTTTGTTTTGGTGGAGATTGGGACCGTTGCGCAGTGTCGTCACCTCCCAGTTAAACGTGCAGCATGGTACCTGGAACGAGATGTGATTGGCTGCTTGCGGGGATTAAGCGCCAAGGTTGTCTGGAGTGTCTTTGTCCTTTTTACCCCCTGTTCTTGTTTCTCGCTTCTGCCGTGCAGGCAGACGGTGGTTTTCAAGGAATCTTGTCCTGTTTGTTTGCTCCCTTCTGGCATCTATGGACTGATTTAATAGGCAAATTTGGAGATCAGGGAGGTTGGGGTTGGATGCCATCTTCAATGTATGTTAGCCCCTCATGGAAAAGCAGAAATCACGGATATGCTGGTGCTTTTTAACTTTAGTGATACTCCGTATGAATATCTTCAAATTGAAGATCCCTTCTCTGTCTTTGTCACGCCAACTTTGCACTAGTCATGCCTTTATGAAGCGTACAGCAGTATACCGCTCTAGCCACGGTATGTGCAGGTAGAGCACACCTAGCATGCCAGTTCTGAGTTTAGGATAAACAATATCCGAGCTCACACCAGAACATGTGAGCAACGGGAAAGAAGCAAGAAAACAATATGATCCGTACGGTGTAGATGTCGGTGTGTGATCACTTGCATTACAGAGAGACGATGGACGATAATGTTTCACCCAAGAGAGATAGCCTACGTTTTCGATGCAGTCTTGTCACAGCCCATACACGGATTGAACGAGCGAAGGTGTGTGATTGGTGCCGCCTAAGAATGCCAGCGTGCTGGACTTGCAGCAAACGATCGTGCCGAACCCTCGTGATTCAGCACGATCCCGTCTGAGGTTACAAAGACGTACATCATGTCGATACGATGAAGGGGGCTGTTCAAACAGTAGCAGATAGGTATCTCCCCCGGAATGATGAAACCAGGCGAAGGTAGAGGGTGCTCAAGGCGCTCATCGAGGACAGCTCGAGAAGGTGCTTCACACTCTCCCTGGATTGCTTCAGATGTGACATTTCTGATGGGGTCGCAGGGTGCCCATTTCGAATGCTCCAGAAAAATCTTTTCGAAACAGATTCTCTGTGGGAGATAGTTCCTGTGTGTAGTTGGCACAACTGTGGGCAGAATGGAAATAGTCTCATCCCATATTTCCACGCGTTTAACATGCATTCTAGCCTCCTATCCTCCTCCTTACGTCACCCTTCCCTATCTCTGGAAATAGAACTCTTCCAACAGCGATCTTCGACCTTGCTGCATGTTATGCATGTAAGATGTGATGAAATACACTTCTTCTTCATCTCAATTTGGTAGATGAAAGAAGTTTTATTTTCGGCCGGGTTCTATGATAAAAAGCCACGTCATCTACGGGAACCTTTCCATCATGCCCCATCTCGTTATTTAACTGTGTGGACTTCAGTGGCGACGGCATTGCACAGCGCAACCCGGATGCCGGCTCCAATGAGAACGTTGATCCATAAACGCTGGGCATCGCTGAGCCGATCGTTGGCGCTCTTTACTTCCGCAAACATGACTTCTCCCGTCTTAGGGCTGCCATCGGTTGCTGGCCTCCACAGGATGAGATCCGGAACGCCACTAACACGACTCCTGTACTCCTGTGCAATGACTTTACACACAGCGGCAAGCGCTTCGCCGTCGAAACAACTCACCAGTTCAACTAGATCGTCAATATCGAAGTCCCAATTTAATCCAATGACACAGGTGCGACGTTTGTACTCCCGTGAATGGACTTCGCGAACTATTCGAGGACCTTCCCCATTGGAGATTTCAACCAGTCGGTGGTTGATCTGGCTTGCGCGAGTCGTATAGAAGGTGTCCGTAAAGAGATCAAGCGGACATGTCTGGCAGGCGGTTTGGAAAACGTTTGGGACATAGACAAACATGATGTCGAAGAACAGGTACGCGAACAGAGTTCGCAAAATACCACCCTCACTGTGATATCCTTTCCAACCTTTGCTGCGGTAGTGTGATAAGCACATTTCCTCAACCCTGACATGTAATGGGTTGCCGTTCTTATCTGGCGCTCCAAGCTCATCAAGCCACATCGTTTTTCCAGAGGTACGAATTGGTTTGTCTTTGATGTCAGGCTCTCTGCGAACGAGTTGGATTCCGTAAACTACATGGATTTCGGGCTCATGAAGTCTGACATGACCAAAATCATGTTGTAGACGGCGGGGAATGCGTAGCTTCTTCTCAAGCTTTAGCAACCGCTTCTGTAGGTCATAATGGTAGATCAGATGACAGTCACGATCCTCGAGGGCAGTCTCGCAAGTAGTAACGGCGATCCGCTGCCAATGCTTTTTGCGTACTTCAGGGTCTGGTGATACTGGATCAGGGTCTGTCTCCCACATATACCGTTCCTCTAAGAGCGCTTTCCGCTGATACCAGGCCCCGCGACGGGCCAGGTGAAACAACCGCTGATTAAGGAGTTCAGTTAGGAGTTGATGCTCTTCCCAGTATTTGTGCAGACGACCCAAGGCGTGAGCAGCCTTATGCGCAATCCGGGTATAAGCATGACCGGGACTGAATCGCCGTAGATAACCGCCCTCGCCAAACTCATAAACATGGTTTTCACGGTAATTCTCCTCTCGAATCAACTCTCGCCAGCGTGAGGCGATACTCTCGAAGATGTAAATAACCTTTCGAAATCCCTCTTCCCCTGATCCACGCGATTCAAGAGCCTGGTCAACCTCGAAGTCTTTCCTCATCGACAACTCAAAATCCAGGAGATGACGTCGAGAGGGGAAGATATTGGTTGACCGGCACACAATATACTCGGGATAGTTTCGCTTCGCCATTTTGGCTAGGAGGATTGTCGTGAGAGACTTTTCGGTCCATTCTGTAGACCGGAAGAAGACTAGATGGACGCGCTCGAAGAGCTTGAAAACAGGCGCTGATAGCCGGATCAAAGGGCCAGTTATAGAGAGAATTTTCTGCAGGAAGTGGGCGTTGCGGTTGCGATGGTCCATCATTGTGACCCCATCAGAGCTTGAATCGTTAGCACCGAATTGCTTGATTCCAAGAGCCAGAAGTCCTGTTTGCTGAGCGCTGGCACGACAGAAGGCTTTCAGGAGGTCCCCTTTGTTCTTGCCTTGCACTCTGGCTTCTTTAGCGAGAATTTTCAACTCATCCATGCTCAGAAGGGCAGCAGCTTCTTCGACGGTTTGAATATAGGAGTCAGAGTCATCGGCGAAAGTAAACGAATCGCCTAGTGACCACTCCTGCAACTCTATTTCTGAGTCGATATCGGGCTGTAGGCTGAGCCCGGCAAGGGGGAATGCTCGTCGTTCCAAAAGGGTAGAGATAGCAAGACTCATGTCAGATATATCATTGTGGTAACTAAGACGATTGATCCGATGCCATGATGCCGTCTTACGTAAGAACAGACGGACGTACCTAAATGTGTCAGAAGGCTTACAGAAGGACTGGAAGGGAAACCAACATATATTGGGCTTCATAACCAATTGAGCGCCACTGCTCAAAGACATGCTTCTCTTTGTCGTCGAAGAGATGCGACTCCTCGTTGAGGACGGTGTCCAATGCAAGGTTGAATGCATCCACATAGATCGAACTCCTTCCCTTTGTCCACCGATTGCCATCGTGTTTTGACGGAACTTCGTCATCTTGGGCGGCTTGAGACACCCGAAGCATTTCGTACTCGTCATTGGTATCTGTGCCAGTCGCAACTGTCGGCAGAGAGCTTTCGAATGCGGTTGCCACTGTCACCGGTGGCTCATCGATGACCTCTTCTGCTGAGGCATAGACACCCAGAACTGTTGGTTCATCGTCCCAAGAGTCCGAGGTTGGAGACACGTTGAGACTCTCGTTGGCCCCTTCGTCATCTCGTTGATCATTCCCAAGACGGGGCTTTTTTGAAGCTCGATGTTCTGCAGGGTCCGATTGCCCCGCCTCATGATGGGGCTTGTTTCGGCGAATGTAGCGATCCATTTCAGGAGCAGCAGGAAAAAGAGATTGTAGATAATAGAAGAACAGCCACGAGAGCCACAAGTCTAGCTTGTGGTTACCATCCTGGACGCAGATTGATAGAGAAAGGTGGGCAAGACAGAAGACACAAAAGAGGAGGAAATTCGTATAGGGAGATGCGATTCGGGTAGTGTTTGCCAAGTGAGCGTAAACGTGATGGGTGTTCTGCAGGTACCAGCCGTCATACACGATGTCCCGTGACACCGCGTTAGTGGGGCCACAGTGGGGCAGCACAAGCAATCTGTGGGTTCTCAATGCCGGTGCTTGTTGCGTTCGAGATCAAATCTCCAAGTCATCCACTCATCAGTTTAGGTCTTTGCTTGTCGCGCCAATCACCCTTGATATTGGGGGACCCAATTGTATAGTACACTGGCTCTAATTGCTACTATTTAGTTAAAGCAAATGTCAGATCAAAGCGCTCTTCAGTCTGTTCCCGCAGGAGGTAATCCACCTACCAACCCCAACCCAGGAGATACAGCAGACATCCCCATGACAGATGCGTCAGACCACCCATCCGTAGGTGTTGCTTTTATCCGCACGATTCCTTGAGCTGAAACTTACTGAAGTCACATACTAATCGGAGCTGTAAGCAGCAGCAACAACTACAACCGCAACCCCAAACTGCTAGCAACGCGCCCTCGCCAGCACCGCAATCGCATTCACTTACGACAAGCCAACAAGGCCGCATACCAACTCCTTCGCGCGCCTCATCTCTTCATCCACCTGACGCACCGACACCACCTACTACGGGTGTCAATCAAACAGGGGATAAAGGATTTACCATGCCTGCAGAAGCAGCGCCACATGGCGCACCGGTACGCCAATACATCAACAGTAAGATCACAGGCGTACTACTGGAAGGAATGAAACTTGTTGCGAGGGAACAGTAAGTTATATGTGTAATTCCATGCTCTTGCTCTGTCCCTCCAACATTTTCAGTCACTTGGAAATGCAAACAGTCCTAGAAAGCCAAAAGACTGCCCGGAATATAAGAGCGGACGCTAATGGATGATGCAATCTAGGCCCAAGGACCCTCTCCGAGTACTAGGAGAATTTCTGATTCAAAAATCGAAAGAGCTGGAGGGGAAGGATGCTCCCTCGGCGTCTTCTTAGCATCCGAACTTGAGCCATCTGCTGGATATGAGGCATCAAGAACTTGTCTCCATCATGCGAGAGCGCGAGTCAATCAATGCACACGAGACCCTGGGCTTTACAATCTACAGGCGATCACTGAAACGTTTGACATCATGGAAAAGATAATAGAGGCGCAATGCTTTTCATTCGCATTAATCTTTCCTCTAAATTGTAGCTTCGCCGGCCAGACTCTCATGTTATTATGTCACGAAAGCCGGCAAATGCCTTGTGCCCAATGCACTGTTCAAAAATGCAGGTTTCCCCTCCATTCCCAAACGCCAATTGCTCGGACCTGTCCTGCTGTGGCGATGGCACACTGGCGAGTCCAGAGCTGCTGCAAATGAACGCAGAAACGCCCCATCACACTCATCGCCGACCATTCCCTGCTCAGCGTTCCGCGCTTAAGCAACGAGGGTGCTGGCGGTCGAAGACTCGTACTTCCAGGTTGGGGGAAGGACACCGACGGTCTTGTAGTAGCGAGCCAGACGGTGGATACGGGACTCGATCAGGATGAGGCGGAACTTGGAGTCTTTGTCCTTGCGGTTGCGCTCAAGGTGCTTGCGGACAGCGACCGCCTGGCTGCTGTTAGCATATTGACGTAGTTGGCTATCCACGGGATTGAACCGTACCTTCTTGATGAGGAAGTAGAGATCCTCCGGGATATCGGGGGCGAGGCCTACCACACATCACTCTGTCAGCCAAACTGACCAAACAGAGGCATACTCCATCTCTTCCCCCATCTTCTGCCAATGCCCTCTTCACCCATTACAGCCTGACTGGCGGTCGGCGCAAAGAGCGATTCGTGCCCAAGAACATTTTTGCAAACGTGTTTATAATCCTCATCTTTCTGGGCTCGAGGAAAGACTTTTAATCCATACCGTTGCTCTTCAGGATCCGGAGGATCTTGTTGCCTATTGCGCAAACACATTAGTATCACACTCTCAAAATTTCACCTCTTGTTACCGTCGCAAAGCGGGTGAAAACATACCAGTGACAACCTTGACCTGGGCAATGCCGTGGGAGTCACGGAGAATGACACCAATCTGGGAAGGAGTAGCACCCTTACGGGCCAGCTTGCAGATCTGCTCGACAACCTGCTCGGGAGTGGTCTTGAGCCACGCCGGCGGATTGCGCGAGTAGGGGATGGCCGAGGCCGAGATACCCTTGCCCTTGCTGTGAAGACGACCCATGATGACGGCGTAGGTTGGCGACGACGGTGTCGATGATTGTACGGATGGTTGCCGAGGGAAGGGGGGAAACGATCAAAAAGGCTGACTTGACCCGGACTTTTTGGGCTTTCGATATTTCTGTGGGCGGAGAAAATCAAAAGTGGGGGCGACCCACTCGAAGAAAAGTGGATCTACCCGCCAAATCTCGACACTGCTAGGGCCGAGCCATGATCAGCTGATTTCATAACGTCACGTGAGATTCCGGTGGTGGATCCCACATCGGGTCAGTGGGCCCGAAGCCATGAGGTTCAAAATCTCCCAAAATTTCCAGCAACACCAACATTCTCTCCTCACCCCAACCACAACAGTGGCTGTTAGTGATGTCGAGCTAGCCACTATCATGAGCCTTTCGCTCTAGTTGTGCCCGTCTGTGAGTTGTCCAATGACACTTTGTTTTTATAGTGGCTACTCCTCAAATACTCGGATGGTAAGTTGCTTCGGTCTTCTGTCGATTCCTTGGCTGCTTCTCATGATGACCAAAAACCGATCTTTCTTTATTCTGGTACCTCTTATGTTAGGGTTCTTCGGAATCCAATGAATAAACTGGACTTCTGATTTTAGGCACTTCAAACTTAAGCCCTTTTTGGACTCGTCTATCATGGCATGAGCTAACTGGAATGTAGATATATTTACGTCCAACTTCAGAAGCAAAACTCCGTTATCCAAGTAGCTTTTTTTTTTGGCCGGGGGTGGGTGATCAGATATCATAGTGTAGGTTCAGTGAGAGGCAATGAAGCTTCTACATGCCACTCAAAGATAGCTAGCAGATTACCACGAAAATGAAGCAAACCGTTCAGTCAACTCAACATCCAAGGCGCGAAGTCATTCCTGTAAAAACGGTGAAGCACCGTGATCCCAGATTGTTTTTCGTACAGTTACGACCAAATGCCCGCATAATTGTACACAAGTATTGTGAAACTCCTTGCGCAACAACCCTTTCAGTCCTGAGGCCCTCTACTAATTCCTCCCCTCCTTTGTGTGTGTCCTTGGGTCGTCCGGGGTTGCGACCCTTTAAAAAACGGATGCCTATGTAGCTCCTTAGCTGATGAACAAATCATACCTGCTTCACCAGCAATTCACCTCGTAATTTTCCTATATAGGAGTCAGCAGATGAAAAACTTCAACTGTTGGTTTTTGAACGTACCTCGGGGAAGTAAGTAGTAACGACGGTGCGGTCAGAGAACTTCCTACCGGCGAGGGCTCGAAGAGCCTTCGTGGCGCTTTCAACCTGTTCAAATTTCACGTAAATCTTCCCAACACCAGCCGACTGCCTATTGCCGCCGATCGGCCTTGGGATCTTGAGAGAAAGGACATTTCCGAACTTCTTGCACTCTTCCAAGACGTCTTCCCGAATTTCTGCAGGCAACATGTTTAGCTCGAGCAAGCTTGGGGCAGATTCAAAAATGGCAGAGCTACATACCTTCATAGTCATCGTTGTCCATCAGCTCCTCAGGCGTCACCATGTTCAGTAGCTGCAGCACCCTGCTGCTAGCTTCTGCATGAGTTGATGTAGTACCGGCAAGCATGGACATGGCATTAACGCTCATTTCACCGGCAACCTGAGTGATGCCGATGCTGGCCTTTTTGACCTTGAGCTTTTGTTCACCGAGCGGCATGTCATTCAAGCCTTGGATGGCCACATTGCTAACGGAAGGGTCAACATATTCCAGGAATGCAATACCCTAGACGAGAAGTTAGCACAGGAACATTACGTGACGTTGGCTGGTTGTAGCAATTTACCCTTGACTCCTGAGTCCCATTGTCCTTGACCAGAACGAACGACTTGAGTTTGCCAAAGCTGACAAGCAGTTCCATGACTTGATCCTCGTTAAGATAAGGTGGAATATTCGCAACACTGATCTTGTTAGGGCTGTCAATCACAACGCTTGATGGAACATCAGAGTCGGGGTCGTAGTTCGGGTCCTCCACGACAGCAGGAACGATGTAGTCCTTCGGTCGAGTGATCTGCAGACCGCCGTGGACAGCCTCTGCGCCATTAGCACCAGCATCATCTGCATCCATGGATATGCCGTCAAACGCAAGAGCCACAGTCGCTTCCGAGCTGTTCCTAAACTCAAGCATGGCGAACGAACGGTCGGGAGCAATGTGTGCCTGAAGACACGGGTCTGTGGTTTCGATGACATTGAGACCGTTAAGCTGGAGGTTGAAAAAGTTGACCAGGCTTTCTTCGGTCGCCGAGGGCGGCAGGTTTCTGACGACCAAACGCTTGGCCTGGCGGGAATTTGTGGGCTTGAGAGCAGCGCTGTTGGCACCACCACCCTGGCTCATAAATGCCTGAAGCTTACTTGGGTCCATAGCATGCTGCCTAGGAGCTCCTGGGAGGGGGAACATGCCTGAGAGCTTAGCTTGCTCTGCAGTGACATTGTCGTAGCCGGGGGGCTTGATATCCCACTGTGTCATACGCCGCTTCCGCTCCAAAATGGGCACGACATCGGTAAGGTCAGGTGTAGGCTCGCGCTTCTTATGCGGAGGTGTGAGGCTGCGCCGCCTGTCGCGCTCTCTCTCATAGTCTCGATCACGCCGGCGGCGGTCATCGAACAGGTCGCGCTCACGGCGATCGCGTCTATCGTCGTCATCTCTCCGGCTCCTGCCCCTGTCACGATCCCATTCTCTATCGCTGCGGCGGTCGCGCCCAGAATAGCGGTCTTCGCGCTCGCGGTCGCGGCGGCTTCGGCTCGATGCATAGGGGTCTTCATCATCACGACGGGAGCGGCGATAGTCTGGAGAACGCGAGCGTCTGCGTCCACTATCTCTATCCCTTGTGTCTCTGTCGCGGTCACGCTCCCTCTCACGCTCACGCTCCCTCTCACGTTCACGTTCCCTCTCACGTTCACGCTCGCGGTCGCGGTCGCGGTCACGATCACGGCGGTCATCGCGATCCCGCCTCGAAGACTACCCGCAGTCAGTCACTGATGGATTACTTCAGCGCCAGCACTGTACATTGCTGCGCGGGGCTAACAGGGTGTGGGAGCGGGTCACGAACCGGGTAGTCACGAGAGGAGCCGTGGCGGCCGCTGTCTATGGCGCGTCAGTCAGAATCAATTCGCAAGGCCAAAGGGTTGATGGCGCTCTGTCGCCATCGGCAAAAAATACCTCTCGAAGAATAATTATCACCGTTCATCCTGCTACAGCTCTCGTCGTATGAAAATGATGCGAGAGACTCTTCGCAAAAGACAGAGAGCCTGTGGGGAAGAATGGTGCTGATGTTGGTCACAGTGGCTCTACAGCACACCAGCCTGTTGATCGCGAGGCTGGAACTTTTTTGGGCGGGAATCCATGAAGCATGCGGTTGTTGGCTGCGGCCCTTGTTTGGTCCACCATGCATTGCGCTAATCCATTTATGGTTAGCACATCATATATTGTGGGTCCGTTTTCGAAACCGTGCCAGGGGACCACCGTGAGCCATGAAGGTTCGCGCTGGTGAGAATCTCATTCACCAGTCTTTTCAGTCTCCATCATTGAACCCGGTGTCGCGTCTGTTTTAATCGTTGGAGAGACATTCGCAGATCTGGTCATGTCATTCTCTGAATATGTGAAAGCATTAGAATTAATTCCTTTCATTACACTTGCCAGATACATTAACTAAAATGCCTGGAATGAGATTGTCAGAGTGGCGTAAATTGCCCCTGAGCCCTAGAGAGCTTTGTATCAACACCACACTTCGCTGTGGACGTAAGTCTTCCACGCCCTACTATTCTCTAATCCAGAAAAACTATCAATATTTTTGTAATTGGATGCTTATATGATCCTTTTCAGAGGCTTTTCGCTGGCGGCAAATAAATGATGAATGGTGAGTCGAATGACTTTATTCAGTCTCAAGTACTTCCGTCATGGGTCTAACTTGCTCTAGGCACTGCGCTCTCTATGGCCGCATCATCTCTCTTAAACAAGACTCGACACACTTGTACTACAAAGTTACATGGCCCCAGCAAATTTCAAAGCTTCCTACTCCTTCAAACTCGGGAGTTAGCTCTCCTTCCTTATGTCCCGAAGAGGACGACACACCCGCCCTTCTTCACCACTACTTCGCCCTTTCACATTCCCTCTCCAACCTCTATGCTCAATGGGCAGCCACGGATCCAAATTTTGCGAAACGTGCCCCTGCGTTCGCTGGCATCCGTATTCTTAATCAAGATGCTTGGGAGGCATTAGTATCCTTCATCTGCAGCAGTAACAACAACATCTCGCGCATCAGCCAGATGGTACAAAAACTGTGCCTTCATTACGGACGCTATATCGGTACCATCGCTGGTGAACCCTTCCACGACTTTCCGCCTCCTCAAGCACTGACAGTTCAAGGTGTGGAAAGCCGCTTACGTGAGCTGGGCTTCGGGTACCGAGCAAAGTATATTGCTGAGACAGCGGAAGTTATTACGACTCGCCTGGGGACGGACTGGCTGCATCGGCTAAGGAATCCCGAGGTACCTGCATTCGGTGCACCATCCCTTTCAAACAGGAAAGATCATTCGGCACCGTCCAGCTACCGTGCTGCACATGACGCTCTTTCAACGCTGCCAGGTGTTGGCCCCAAAGTCGCTGACTGCGTCTGTCTCATGGGACTGGGATGGGGAGAGGCTGTACCGATAGACACGCACGTGTGGCAGATTGCTCAACGCGACTACAAATTCGGCGGTAATGGGAAGGTTAAAGCATTGAACAAGGCTATGTACCAGGCAGTAGGCGATCATTTTCGGAAGATATGGGGGCCACAGGCTGGTTGGGCACAGAGTGTGTTGTTTACAGCGAACTTGAAGTTGTTTGCTGAGCAGGCTGCTGGAGGCAGGAGAAAGAGTGAGAAAGAGAATGGCCAGGGATGTGCGAAGCTCAAGTTGTCAAAGATGAAGGAAAAAGAACAGGAGAAGATCGACGTCACACTTTCCATCGAGAAGGTTGGAGTAGCAGCGTCGCCCATTTCACTGACAGAAACAGAAGCGATTGAGGAGTTAAAGATCGAAAAGATTGATCAAACGGTTGCTACCGCGAATAAAGATCAGCCAAAGAAACGAAGAACGACAAGGTCAGCAGCAATACAGACACTAACAGAGGTAAAAGCCGAAGGAGCTAGTGACAGTCCGACAGTCAGACGGAGTAAGCGGAGAAAAGTCTCTGTCTCCTAACAGCTTTTGCTTTGCAGGATGGTAAAACGTACATGATCCCGGCACTGCAGAGTAATAATAGGAATAATTTGCAATACTGAGCACTACTTGATCCCAACTTGCTTCTACGGTATAGGTGCACTAGTTGGTGGTTGGCTGTCTTGTGCTATGTGCCGCTGCGTGATGCCTTCGTGGGAGTTTTCGGTGATCTACAGAAGATTAAAGTGATGCTCTTGGCTTCGAAGTGAAGAGCAGTGTCTGGCATATTGACAACTACCCGCAATGAAGCAATCTTTAGCATGGATAGGACATAGACTCGAAATGACAGGGCCTTGTGGGCGAATTACTTACGATGTTAACTGTCAATTTTAACTATCTAACTCACACCTTAGTGTGCCATCTTGGCAACAAGCCCACCCTCCATTGCTTGAACAAGCGATCCTTGACCGGTAGCAACATATTGCTGTCGTCTAAGATTTCAGCGATCTCGTTGAGCGCTTTGGCGGGCATATTTAACTCCTGAGCGTCGCATGTTATGCTCTCAAGTACCTGGTTGGCCTCGCCAAGGCTTACCCTTCGATAAAGGAGCTTGATGGCCGGTTTGCATTGACCAGTTCTGCTAGATGAGTAAAAGATTCCGCTGTTGAGCACCCAGATATGGAGCGCCTTTGGCTTTTCAGAATCCGGTCCATCCTGGTTTTTGGGGATGGTTTCGCGCATTGGCGTAATAAATGACTTGGACGAGCCAGAACGAGCTATGGTCGAAATAATTGTAGCTGCAAGACATTCTGAAATATTAGGGAAAACACCTGAGACGGATTTCAAAGAGACCTGCCACTTGAGCAAGGTGACTGCAGCTGTCCGGAAGTTAAAAAACCCCAGATGCTCTCGACAGGAGGAGCAAAACACATTCAAGTTGTGCAGCTGATTTTGGTGCTCTTCTAAAGGGAGAGAGGACCGTTCCTTGTTTCCTTGGTCAAAATTAGAGATGGAAAACTAGATAACAGGTCAGTTACTGACTGACCGCGATAAAAATAAAAGAATTCATACATGTGCCTCTAACAATCCCGGAGCATTTTGCACTCTAAAATGGTCCGCTGAAAGGTAGAGGGCCAGCAAGCCATGAGGAAATGCCCCGTCCCGAAGGGAGGTTCATAACCTCGATACCTTGATTGAACTGGCGTCCGTTGATCTTGGGCATTTGTATCGGTAACCAAGTCATGAAGGGTCTTTGACCGGCCAGGCTACCTTCTTAATGCCCGAATTGATTCACCGTAATTGTTACCGAGCAGGCGGATGAATCCTTCTGAGAAAATGGGCGAGCAAACTTACAACTAAATTTTGGCAGTCGGTCTCGGAAAAAAGGAAGGTTGTCAGGTCAATTAACCCTATTCCTTCCTGCGCTGAGATGGCTGATGAGGCACCGTAACCCCTTGAAGCAAGAGTCCTCTCATCAGCCTTCCCATCCTTCCCCTTGTGGTGCTCATGATTGTATGGCTTGTGGCAATGCCAAAACTCCATCATCTCTGCCCAATTCTCGCTGGGAAGATCCTTCCATGTTCTAATGATATCGTGAGGAACAACTATGGAGCTGCATTGCCTGCAGGTCACCTCGGAGAGACTCGTGAGATCCAGTGATGACCATGGGAGAGCCTCAGTCTCTCTCGATGTAGGGAGAGATGAAAGATCTGGGGGAATCCTCCACGTAAGCGTTGAGGAGCCTTGCTGTCGCTCCTGAATGGGTAGCACTACGCCGCCGAACGAGGCCTTTGCCGGAAGGATTAGCTGATGAGCGCTGCTGCCATGCCTCAGCTCGACTGTCTTGCAGTCAGCTGATATAGCAATCCTAGTTGATGGATTGCTGGCGGAAGACAATGAGGCAGCAAGAGAGATCTGCCTGATGTTGGGATGTAGTTCTGCGTAAAGAAAACAGTCGCCGGGAGCCATTGTTCCATCCGTCAACATGAACCGTTGAGGGACGAAAACAGAAATTAACTCTTTTTAGTTATGAGTCTTTATCCTTCTCGTTATCTCGCTCTTGACCAAACAATATGGCAACAAGGGCACTCTAGTCATCGGATGTATGAATTACAAAAGAAAGGCAGAAGTTCAGTGAGGAGCAAGATCGCGACTCGCCTGAGGTTTCGAGGTCGCGTCCATGCTTACATAACCATGGTGCAAGCAAGTAGGACCCACTCAGAGTTTGCTGGGCCAAGATCTTGCGTGGGTCTCCCTGCAAGGCCGCGGCCATGTCTGCTCTCGCCAAAATTTCGACAGGTCGATGATCTGAAGCTCCACGTCTCGCGCGCGCCTCCTTTCTTGAAACATCCAACCGTCATCAACCACAGCAACGCACCGGAGGTAGTCGGCCTTCATCATCGATCACGAAGCCAAGCATTTCTCTATTCTCAATTGCGACAGATTCATAGTTCGGTTGTTGTCAGCTCCCTTAGCTGACACCCGACACGACCTCCGCGTGTTATCACCCGCCATCTCTTTGCCCCAAACTCTTCCCGAATGGGATGAGCACAGCGCCGAGCGGGCAGCAGCATAATGTCGGACGCGGAATTTGAGCAGATTCGGAAGCTCCAGGCGGAGCGCAATGCCGCTGCCGCTGCGAAGAAGGGGTCGCGCACGTTTGATCCCTCCACCCAGCGAGCCGACACAACGAAGGCCAAGTTGACCGAGGCTTGGGACACGGACATCTACGACCGCGAGACTGAAGACAAGTATGCTGGCTATCACAGGACTCTGCCCGCCGCAAACGGTGATGAAGATGAAGACATGCTTGATGCCGACAATACGCGACGCCTAGTCGGTCAATACACAGCCACTCGCGCGCAAATTGACGAATTCGCCCACGGCGCTGGAGTTGAAGAAGATGATCGACTCGCTGGACGTGGTGAGCGCAGCACGCGCATCGTGGACCGCGAGACCGACTATCAAAAGCGTCGCTTCAACCGCACCCTGGAGCCAACACGTGCTGATCCTTTTGCTAATTCGCAGGGCGGGGCTCAAGAAGGCGCTACCTATCGAGAGATCATGGAACGTCGTGAACTTGAGCGCGAAGAGGAACGTGTTCGTCAGGCTATCGCCCAGAAGATGAAAGAAGGTCAGACGGAAGAGCATAAGCCGCTCCTGAAAGATTCTACCGAGGCAGAGAAGGACAAGGAGACGGAGAAGGAGAAAGACGAGAACGACAAAAACAAGTCAGAGACATCCGCCGATTCTGCCACTACTGGCCGCAAGCGGAAGAGCAGGTGGGATGTCAGTTCAACCGACACCACTGATCAAACTGCCGCGCCGGCCGAGCCCAAGAAGAAGTCCCGCTGGGATCAAGCTCCTGCTGTCCCTGTGCCCGGCGCAGAGCAACCGAAAAAGAAGTCAAGATGGGATCAGGCACCAGCTGCTACCCCTATCGGAAATGTTGGTCTTGCAACTCCGATGCATCCATCCCAGGGCGCAGCATTTGACCTGTCAGCAAGGAACAGGTATCTGACCGACGAGGAACTTGATGCAATGCTTCCTGGTCCTGAGGAAGGTTACAAAATCGTTGAGCCTCCTCCTGGCTATGTGCCTGTCAGGCCAGCCCATAAGCTTGTCACCGCCCCTCCGGTGGCGACGGGCTTTACAATGCAGGACCCTTCCAGCAGCCGCCTGTCCCAGCCGATGCCTAAAGAGATTCCAGGTGTCGGTGATCTAGCGTTTTTCAAGCCTGAAGACATGGCCTACTTTGGTAAGTTGGCTGACGGAGCCAACGAAGATGAGTTGAGCGTGGAGGAGCTCAAGGAGAGAAAGATTATGCGCCTGCTCCTGAAGGTCAAGAATGGCACTCCTCCTATGAGAAAGACTGCCCTCAGACAGCTTACAGACAATGCCCGTAACTTTGGGGCTGGTCCTCTCTTCAACCAGATCCTCCCGCTTCTCATGGAGAAAAGTTTGGAGGATCAGGAGCGCCATCTGCTTGTGAAGGTCATTGACCGTATCCTTTACAAGCTCGACGATATGGTTCGGCCATATGTTCACAAGATCCTGGTCGTTATTGAGCCTTTGCTCATTGACCAGGACTACTACGCCCGCATGGAAGGTCGCGAGATCATTTCTAACCTCGCCAAGGCTGCCGGGTTGGCAACCATGATCAGTGTCATGCGGCCCGATATCGACCACGTAGACGAGTACGTGAGAAACACCACCGCGAGAGCGTTCGCCGTTGTTGCTTCTGCCCTTGGTATTCCTGCCCTCCTCCCATTTCTGAGGGCTGTCTGCCGGAGCAAGAAGTCCTGGCAAGCCCGCCACACCGGAGTTAAAATTGTGCAACAGATCCCCATTCTGATGGGTTGCGCCGTTCTACCGCATCTTAAGCAACTGGTCGAGTGCATCGCGCCCAATCTGAACGATGAACAGGTCAAGGTACGGACAGTGACCGCTTTGGCCATTGCCGCCTTGGCCGAAGCGTCGAATCCCTATGGTATTGAGAGCTTTGATGAAATCCTCAACCCATTGTGGACTGGCGCCCGGAAGCAGCGAGGCAAAGGCCTGGCTGCCTTCCTGAAAGCTGTCGGCTACATCATTCCTCTGATGGACGAAGACTATGCCAACTACTATACCAGTCAGATTATGGAGATTCTCCTCAGAGAAATGTCTTCTCCGGACGAGGAGATGAAAAGGTTGTGCTTAAGGTGATCTCCCAGTGCGCCCAGACAGACGGCGTTACTGCCGGTTATCTGAAGGAGCATGTCTTGGACGGCTTTTTCAAGAACTTCTGGGTGCGCCGTATGGCCCTCGACAAGCGTAACTACCGTCAGGTTGTCGAGACGACTGTGGACATTGGCCAGAAGGTTGGTGTCAGCGAAATCCTTGAGCGCATCGTTGGTAATTTGAAAGACGAGAGCGAGGCATATCGCAAGATGACTGTTGAGACAGTTGAGAAGTTGGTCGCTTCTCTTGGTGCCGCTGATATCGGCGAGCGGCTCGAAGAGCGTCTGATTGATGGTATCCTGCATGCCTTCCAAGAGCAGACGGTCGAGGATATCGTGATGCTAAATGGCTTTGGCTCCGTTGTTAACGCTCTTGGCACTCGCTGCAAGCCATATCTCCCTCAGATCGTCAGCACTATCCTCTGGCGTTTGAATAACAAGTCGCCTACTGTGCGTCAGCAAGCCGCCGATCTCGTCTCCCGCATTGCCATGGTCATGAAGCAGTGCGGTGAAGACGCCCTGATGGGCAAGCTAGGCGTTGTCCTTTACGAGTACCTGGGTGAGGAGTATCCAGAGGTTCTGGGTTCTATCCTCGGTGCTTTGCGGTCAATCGTCACCGTGGTTGGCATCAACCAGATGCAACCACCAATCAAAGACCTGCTCCCCCGCCTGACTCCCATCCTTCGCAACCGCCACGAGAAGGTTCAGGAAAATACTATCGATCTCGTCGGCCGTATTGCCGACCGTGGGCCAGAGAGCGTCAATGCACGCGAGTGGATGCGTATCTGCTTCGAGTTGCTTGACATGCTCAAGGCCCACAAGAAGGGTATTCGCCGCGCTGCCAACAACACCTTCGGCTTCATTGCCAAGGCTATTGGTCCACAGGATGTCCTCGCAACGCTCCTTAACAATCTGCGTGTTCAGGAACGCCAGTCGCGTGTCAACACCGCCGTCGCTATCGGCATCGTTGCTGAGACCTGTGCTCCCTTCACCGTCCTCCCTGCTCTCATGAACGAGTATCGCGTACCCGAGCTGAATGTCCAAAACGGTGTGCTCAAGTCTCTCTCCTTCCTCTTTGAATACATAGGTGAGATGGCCAAGGATTACGTCTATGCTGTCACCCCGCTGCTCGAAGACGCGCTTATCGACCGCGACCAAGTTCATCGTCAGACCGCCGCGTCGGTCGTCAAGCATATTGCCCTGGGTGTCGTTGGCTTGGGCTGCGAGGACGCCATGATCCATCTCCTTAACTTGCTCTACCCGAACTTGTTTGAGACCAGCCCGCACGTCATCGACCGTATCATTGAGGCTATTGAGGCTATCCGCATGGCGGTCGGCCCTGGCTTGGTACTCAACTACGTCTGGGCTGGCCTTTTTCACCCAGCTAGGAAGGTCCGCACGCCTTACTGGAGGCTGTATAATGATGCCTATGTGCAGTGTGCAGATGCAATGGTGCCATACTACCCTAATTTGGAGGAGGACAAGATCGATAGAACAGAGTTGGCGATCGTGCTATAAGGCATGGCAGATTTCGTTTCATTCGTTGGAGAAAGCTAATGGAGCGATACTTTGGTCGTGGTGTTGGCGTTCGCTCCACCCTTGACCCCTTTTTTGACTTGGCCTTCTCTGGTCCGCAGTCTTCCCGCGACGATTATTTCTAATTTGTTCGTCGTCCAGCTCCTCATCTGCTTCTTCAATGGAGTTGGACCGGCAAGGATGTTTTCAAATGCGAATTGAAGGAAGTATGGCAACCTTCCAATCGGGGAGATTGAGATTTGTGGGTATGCGAAAGGAAGGAAACTAGGAGTAGACCACGGCTGGGATGGCAAGGTAAATGTGAATATTTCTAAGAAAAAAGGGATCTATTCGGTTGCTGTACATGTTAATAGTGAGGAAATTGTGATGCTATGATGCTATCGATGATGTTAAACTTTAGTATGCTGTCGCGCCAGCCTATTCGTGATATTGCTGAAGTCAAGACGGGTGGTTGGAGACGAAGCGAAATCCAGTCTCATATTTGAAAATGACAGCTCACTGGCAAAGCTCCTCCTCACCTTTACAATGCCCATCAGTTTGTTGTTCTCTCAAACATGTGAAGCATCATTTTATAACCCCCTTGGCATAGCGTATCTAGATACGCTTGCCTGGAGTGGAGTTCAGCTAACTCGAAAACCAAACAAGAAAGACCATCAGGCCATTCTTTAAGTCATCACAACATTAATGTCGAGATCGAAGCGGCTGGCATCAAAACCAGGCGTGGGTTGAGTGGTTGCTTAGCAGACACTTCACCGAGGATGACAATACTTAAGGTAGATAACTTCCCATCGAGAAACATGACACTCCACGCAAGCCAGCACGCAATCCGATGCTTGACAACGATAAGGTTTTGAAGTAGGCAGTCTATACTCTATTGTTCCAATGACTTCATAACCACATCATATCCCTCAGTCTGGAAACTTTCTGGAGCGGCATCTCAGATCCTTATTAAGTATTGTCCATACCACACTTGACGTCCCTTCATGAGGAAACCGAAGCAATGAAGCACATACTACCTTGAGCATACCTGGCAGCATGGATCAGCATTTCTTTCACCATATGTACCATTCACCACTGAATCCCACCCCCTTACTTTCTCTCAATGCATTCATCTATATATCGAGTACCGTGTACAGTGTAAGATTAAAAAAAGGCCGGAAAATGTCCACCCAGATATGTAGGTGTCTGCACGTCTGCTTGTCTGTCCGAGAAACACCGCAACCTAAACCGCTTTTTGGCTGCACTGTAAATGCATGTCTGAGAGCCCTGTGTCTGTACTCTCCACGAGTTGGTCTATTGACGATACTACTCAAGCTATTTGGGACGGTGAGAAACTTTGAACTTTACCAGGGGGATTGTACGATTTCCAGAGACTTGCATCCCAGCATTGAGAACATGGTAGACAATTCAACGCGCAAGAGTAGTTGATACAGAAAATTATTTTTGGTTCCCGGCATCTGTGAACCAAGGATTAGGAAGTGGCTACACATTTACTAATCCTATATTGCTTTGGGACGGCTGCTGGTGCTTGGTCGCTATGTGATGAGCAAGTGCCCAGATGTTTACAGTTGGCCTGCCTTGCGCAATTTACCCGCTCTTTCGCAACTCAGCAACAGTGACAGTGAGCCAAACTGCTTGGGTTACAAAATGCATTCAAGTTGATAAGACGCCAACTAAGAAGGGCATAGATTAGAAGAGCGAGGAAGATAAGAAAAATACTCTCTCCCCTCCTGTCCTCTCCTTCCCCAACACACACACACGCACAGTGCGCTGTGCAAGCCGCGTGGTCATGTAACCATCACCAATGTCACACAGTTGGTGTCTTGCCCATATTTCCCCAGCTTATTCCCTGTTCCAAGCAGCAAGGAGCCATCGGAAAGGAGGGGGAGAAGACGAGGTGATGTGAAGGTGGGAACCAGGAGGGAGGGGGGCCAACGACTTGCAGGATTTTCAGCTTGATCGGAAATCAGTAGTCAGGGGACTGCGAAATCCGTAGCAGAGTCATAGCGATGTCGTAGGGTAGCTGGAGTAGGGCATGAAGGTAGAGTACGTACAATTTTTGACTTTTTCCGGGCGGAGAAAAGATCTTGACTTGCATGGTAAGCAGCCTATTTGCTCCGTTGGAGCAGCTCTAGACGCTATCAACCTTGAATGAGCGATAACCAAGCAGCACGGTGGCAAATATTGATGGTACATAGCGTGGTGATGGGGTGAAAGACTAACAGGGTTGAGTATCTGTTCGGCGAGCTCGGCTTGATGTGGAGGGAAGTATCGGAACACTCAATACTGCCCAACACTCATCGAGTGTTGTCATAGTCAGCTTTTTTGAGTCCTTGACAGTCTAGAATCGGAACTTAGGCAACCGGTAACGCATTCACAAGTGCCATGGCACGAGTTGGTGAATGCAATCTGCCCCGATCATAAACGTACAAACTTTGCCTTTGTCGCCCGTTGCAGCGTCATCGCCCTGCTTCTCCCTGCTGTTAGTTGGCGACCCGGCCCCGGCCCAACCGTCGCACCACCCCCGCTTTCCTCCACATCTACTCTTCGGGCTTGGCCTGGAAACTAGCGGGCCTATCGGCGACAGCTTTGCTGGAACTTGGGGTATGGTGCAAGGTACGGCCCTGTGCGGCGATGCCATACAGCTAAGAGTTGTCGGGGGCCCGTTGTATCCGCCTACGGGTGGCCTGGGATTAAAGACATTTTGGCCGGTGTTAGGCACGTTAGGTATACGTATGTCTTTGTTAATCATTCAGTGATGAATGCCGGTATCGATACATACACATTTCCAAAAAGTGCAATGAGCAGAACGGGATATCCTCAGCTTAATTCACCATAGTCTTGACGAGTGACGCCATCAAGTGGATGCGTTGCCAGGACACAACTACCATTGCTTGCTCACTTGCTCGTTGCCCACCATAGGCGCCATATCTCGGTCTAATAGTGCTTCTTTTCCATGTCACCGTCCTCGACTTTACAAATCCAGAGCAACAAAGTCCGTGACAGGGCCTGGAGTGGAGCGATATGGTTGGCGGGATGCAGTGTCTCTCGAGGGGTCACATAAGACCTGCCTTTCTTGTGCCGTGGCGCTATTCGGCAGCCGGCGACACCGCTACTATGCGGACTGAAATGCCCGTGGGGGCCGGTCAAGGCCATGGATCCCATGGGACATTGACGAGACAGCCTGAGGAGCAGCAGTGTGCCAGTGTGGCTGTCGTAGGTAGGAAAGCTACCCATACACAGTGTCCCATAGGCCGCTCAGCCGGGCAGTAACATGCCGCGGCATGTCTCGGAGAATCTCCTAGGCCGTAGGGCAGAAAGGTGCCCAAGTCTGGGGCCATATCGTTGCGCCTTGTATTGCCCTGATCGAGGTGGACGAACGCAGTGAGCCATACCACTCATGGGGAGCGGAAGTCACTCGGCACGCGTCGATCAGTGGCCACAAACGGTGCTTGGGGGATCAGTGGGTATTGGACAATGGCAGGGCAGACTCAATATGTTGGTATTGCGAACTACGCTGTACTCTGTAGGTAGGTAGTGTACTGTACCTGGACCTTTCAGTCTCACACAATAACTCACGGGGGGACCATGGCATTCCCAGGCTCCTTTCCTACCTTACCGGTATGTCAGCTGTACAGGGGAGATGTAGGGCCAGTTGACAAGTCCATCCTGGTGATCGGATACGCCATCCCCGACATGCTCCATCGCTGGTGGAGGAGAAAACTGCACCGATCTGTGTAGAGGCATAGTGGGGTCCCCGATCGCGATTTATGGAGTCTCCATCGGGTTTGGATCTAACGTTCAAGGATGCAGGACCTGGTTGAGGCTCTCAGGCTCGGGAATAATCCGTAGGGCCCGCCCGCCAAGCAGTCGAGGGGATACGCATTCCTCCTGGCCGAAGCGGATGGATGCTCAAGACTCAAGTCGGGCATGGGCCCGGTCCATAACAGCAATGAGACACATCAGACATGTCGCACTGACAGCCTCAAAATTCTTTTCTTTGCGCCGCGCCTATATCGATGCCGGTTACGGCTTCACAAAGGCCGAACGGATGGTCAGCACCCGTCGGTCCCGGACCGGCGCAACCTCCACAGTATCCAGGCTGATGGTCAGTAGGTAATCGACTGCCAGTGACGAAGAATGAGCAATGATAGCCTACGTCCAAATTGGCGACATGAAGGAGGACCTGTTGTGATGTGATGTATAGCAGGCTGGGTATGCAGCGCAAGGCCGATGCTGTTTCCTATCAGAATGTTGCCGTTTTGATGATTTTCGCATCGCTCCCGGCCCAGGGAACACACATTTCCATGCCTGGCACCGAGATGGGCGAAAAAGCAAGCTCATGTCTTTCGTCTCGGTCCGGCTTGTGGCTCGGACGATGTCTCGGCGCCAAAATCAGCAACTAAAACTTTTTTTGCACCCCCAGGACACAGGCAAGTAGAGTTAAAGATGGCTGTCGGAGGATTGGTGTGGCTGAGCCGAAGAGTGTTGTGGCGGAACTTCGGGTGGGAGAGTGGGAGAGCAGAAATCAAGAGCCAGCATGTTAGAGGACGAATCACGAACGGCTGTTGCAAGTGTGGGGTAGATGCCGAAAATGTCGATAGGCTAGCCATTTCTGTCAATGGCATGGTGGGACTCGGTGGGGACAACGCGGAAGACATCTCTTATGCTGCAGGAGAGATCTTGCCCAGACTCGCGCCGCGTCGATCAGGACGCGATGGCAACCCTCCCCCAGCCGCGCTAAAAGATAGCGTCACACCTGCTACAACCACCTGCCTGAAGCTACCACATCAGATTGCAGACATCATTGTGAAAACCGGCCAAAAATTGCAGTCCTTACGGACTGCAATTGTGTGTTCGACTGGATTGCATCAAGGATTATCGCGGCTAGTTTCCGTACAATCCGTCAAGCCGTCGGTAGAGCGATGGGTGATCGAGTACCGAGTGCACGCCTGATCAGCAACAACAAATGATCCAGACCA